TTGGCTGGGAATCTTCACTTTTAATACAACTTCGCAATTAATTTTATGTCAATCCCTCTTTTTATTACACAGTGCCTATTTTTTACTAAGTCCTGACAGGGCTGGTGTTTTAAAAACTTCATTGTATGCTTGAAGAGATCTGCTAAATGACCAAGACACCAGAAGCAGTTATCCGTAGGCCTGTGTCTGGCACTTTCAGATTCATATAGCTGTTAACTCCTGTAGATTTGTGTCAAATTAAACAGTAAAACACTGAAACTGTACTGGTCAGTGTAAGCCTGAATTACACTGAAAAACCGTCAGTGCCATTTTATTGTTTTATTTATAGATTTGTATGTGCTTCTACAGACTGTGGAATTTTTAAAGTTAGGTTTGTAGCTCAGTGATTTTCTGCAGTGAGCAAAGAAACGCACCAAGAAAATACTTGTGTACTATTAATGTTATAATAATTCAGTTTTTCTATATGCTTTTATAATACTAATCTTGGAGATCAGTCAATGTCTTAGAGTAATAGAGGACCCTGAGAACACATCACATATGTTATTGCAAAGTACCCTAATGGACTGCTGATATTTCACAGCTCTGAACTGGGGTTTTTGCCATCCCAGTCAAGCCATAAGCTGTAATACTAAAAATGGCTGTTCAYTGAGACTCTTTTAAAAAGTAGACATTTGTTTAGAGCTCTGAATATGAAATTGAAATTACCAACACTTCCCTGGTGTTTTGTTTGAAAATTCAAAGGCTTTTTTTGTTGATGTATGTATTGTGTGTAACCCCAGCTGGTTGGGCTGCGCTCCCCATCASCCATGGTCTCCTTCAAACTGGCTGTGACAGATTCTATAGATTATCCAGTTGACATTGTTTCTGATTATCTTTCCAACTAAGCTATGGACCTAACAGATTTAGTTATACAGGAAAAAAAAATCACTAAAATCTCTTTAGCTTTGTATAGGASTGCATGTTGTTTATGTGAAATTAGGCTATTTTGGGTGGCACATAATGATTTTGAGTGAGTCTTGTGAGCAGGTTAGTGTGTGCATGTTAGAATACATGTATATAAACATGAATAACTTTATCTGTGACTGCTTGAAGCTGAAGATAATTTAAATTGAATTTTTCTTTGTGCATGCAAGTAAAATTACTGCACAAATGCCAGGAAGAATAATAGTTATGTAGCAATTATGGGTTTTTAAAATATAAAATAATAGCAACACTGGTTTCTCTCCCTGAGAAGCAACAATAGTGGTGACTGAAGGATGCAAAAATAATTTATGTAGAAGCAAAGAGCTTTTGTTCTGAGAGAAACAGACATATGTCCACTGGCAGATTTTTATTTTGAATTTGTTTCAGTGCCAAGAAGGCTCAGTTTGGGATGGCTTTTTGTGTATTGCAGCTAAAGCCTCTTGATGAGAGTTTTAAGTGGGTTTCTTTCCCATGTGCTTGGTTTTCCATAGGTAAATGGGAATAATGACACTGACCTCCTTTGTGCCTTGAAAGTACTGCTGAGAAACATTTATATAAGAATTGAGTATTATTATACAAATCATTCGAGTTTGATCCATCTGTGCTGACCTTTTCCCTCCATGCAGTGAGATTACCGTGACTCGGAGGCTGATGGGTCTCATTGTGTGCAGCTTATCACTGTACTCACTGCTGTTGTGCCCTGGGACATAAATCAGTGTAATCTTTTTTTGTCCCCCAATGATGGGTGTTATTAAGACTTGGCATTTATTTAGAATTTGGTTGTGTTTAAATTCTTTACAGTTGCTTTGTGATAGTATATTTAGTTACTTCGATGATATTTGTGCTTTCAGTTAAATACAGAAATCTGTTGAATGTTTTGTGGCATCTACTTTCTCCTAAATATCATAATACAACACTATAATGATATAATAATAATATTTGGAGCAATTGAGGTTACATGAGTATCTGGACCATTATGCTATTTTGAGAAAAAGAAATTTGCAACTGATAACACTTTCTGCTTACTATTTTTTCAACTGCTGACAAACATAGAATAATGTCCTACAGTGAAAAAATTGGTTGCTCTTTCTTTCTGTCCACTATGGATGAGAAATACCTCACTCATAAAAACAAACTGGTTCTTTTTCATCCTACCTGTAATTAAAAATCTACAGAGTCACATATTTGTATTTGCCAATGAAGAAAATCAGGAGCAAGGGCAGGGAAACATTTCTTTCAAAACTTGGTCAACTCTTGAGATCGTTTTGACTATGCTGCTGCCAAATGAGGCATTTGTGTAGTGTTTAGAAGATGAAAATCTTTTTTATTGGTAGTAACTCTRGCCAAAAAGACATTTAAACACACCATATGTAAGCAACTTGTCTTTTTTAAATAAAGATCAAGTCATTTGAATTTACTGAGATTGCTCCAATGGTGCCCATGTACATTTATGCAGGGAACCTTGTAARTGAAGGCACAGTGCAGCAGTAGCTACTTATTAGTGTTTTTTCCTGGGCTGCAACAGTAAATCTGCAGGGTTTGTATGGCTCTGGCCATGGGTCTGCATATGTGTGAGAGAAGTACATCCATACAAATGTTGAAAGCTATTGCAGGTGGAGCTGGATCAAATGGATAACATGGATACCAGTCTGCATGGCACATGCTGAGAAAAAAACAATCTGTGCCCTGTGATGGATGTCGTGGGTGACTGTGTGCATTGACTGTGCTGTTGTGCTCATTGTCCAGTGCTGTGAGTCCCACATGTCTGCTGCGGCACTGGGAAATGTGGTGGCCCAGTGCCTCTTGCAGGCTGGGAGGTGTAGGTGGAGACAACTTTGTGCTGTAGCCCTGTGGTAAAAGAGCTGGGAGCCAAAACCGACATTTCACAATTTTACTGCACTTGGCCATGTGACCTTATACCGTCAGCACCAGAGAAAGTAATTTATTTCTTTTCCCTGCTAAGAAAAGAGACAAGGGGAAATAGGGTGAGAGCTGTTCTTAGAGATAATGGGGTCAAAAGATTCAGCTGCAGCAGAAAAGAAGAAAATTCCTACGGCAGTACTGGGAAGTGGCACGTCATTGATGGCAACAGTCTGCAATGAGGGGAGAGACTGGCTTTTGATGGAATATGCTGGCACAGCTTGGGAAATCCTGGGCAAAATCCTCTAGCAAAAGTAAAACTGACAAGTGAGAGAACTATTTTGAGCTCAAAATGGGAACACAGTGTATGTAAATCATGAATTACTGTCTTGTGCTCTCTGGCACTACCTCACAAAAGATGTTTCATAACAGCAAGAATTTACTGGGGGGAGTGGGCTTGCAAGTGTGGGAGGTTTTTATTTGTTTTTCTGTGTAAGTTTACGTGACTGAGTAATTTACTCATTTTTTTGAGTACGGAAGCAAGCTGCTTTGGAAGATGTTTCAGATACAGATCTGCCTTTAGGAAAATTATTACTAAGTAGTAGTATTACTCTAGATGCCAAAAGAATTTACACAGAACATGAGAACATCCTAGTCTCAATTTGTTTGTATTTCTCATATATCTGCTGAATGTTTCTTACAAAGGTGGGACTTAGCACAAATCTGTATCTTTTCTACTTTTGTGCCATAACTACAGAAGATCCTTTTGCTCTCAGTTGTGTTACTTCTGCTTCCTGTTGCAGGGAAGTTACTTTGTTGAGTTAATGATTTTTCAGTTGCCTCATGGAAAGCATAGATATAATAAAATAAAATGTAAAACACAGATCATGATTCAGAACCAAGTGAGAAATGAAAATTGGGCAGTGGAGATGAACAGGTGATGTGAGAAAAGGCAGGGGAGCAGGGATGTGTAACACCACTGAGTCAGCTTGGGCCATGTGGGCTAAGCTGAGTGTTGGCTGGCTCCTGTAGGAGGAGKGCTGTTCTCTGTGCTGCTCTGAAGGGATGTGTCACCTCAGATGCCTTCAGCTGCTGTCTGTAGTGCAAGGGAACCTTAGCAGCTCTCCAGGAACCAATCCTTGTCCTCATGATCCCAGCTAGACCCAGGCTGACTCTGGATTACCAGGCAGTGGCAGCTTTTCTTTTGGTTCTGCCTCCAGCCCCACCATGCTGTGTGTAGGAATGGGCCCGGTGTTTGATCAGTTCCCAGCTCTCCTGCTTTGAAGCTGCCACAGAGGAAGGAGCTGCTGCCCCCACGGTGTTTGTGGATAAGCCAGTGTGCTAAGGGCTTTGAGAGGTTTGTGCCCAATCGTTTGAACACTCAAGTGTTAGCAGTGGTAGCAGTGGTGCTGCAACAGTTTTTATTTAAACATTAGGTCCAAATCAGCGAGACACAAGATGCAGTTTGTGATAGAGGAGGAGCGGCAGTATTTTGGGGCTCTCAACAGAGTTGTACTTCTCTGTGTGAAGGCAGGATGACTGAGATCTATAAGCAGTTTGGGATCACAAAGGTGCTGAACATCTTGGGATGAGAACACACTGGGCTAGAGAGAGCATGGGTGGCTTTACTGTGCCATCCAGCTGCCTGCTTTGTGACTTTAGGTGAGTTACTGTAAAGGCATCACTTACTCCATCTGTACGGTGGTGGGCTGTGGTTGTCTTACATCAGCGATGTCTRTTGAATGCTCCAGCRTAGTCAGATGATGAATGGTTATGGRTGGTTATGAAGGTTTATAGTGCRTATTTTGTACGTGTGATTATGCTTATAAATAGGATTTGTATGTTGRCTTCTTTTAGAAGTATTCTCATTAATTTTCACTTCAAATGCTGAGGAATGTCAGGCTGTGTGCTCTTTGTCTTAAGCAAGAATAAATTGTTTCTGGAAATAAAATATATTGAATTTTAAARGTAAAATAGTGAATATGCAGCTTTGTGAGGTGTCCTTGTAATATCTGCTGGGAGGTCTGGAGGTTGTTAGATTGAGGGTGTSTTTACAGCGAATGAGACAACAAAGCTAACCTGATTCCAAAGTGTTAAAGTGGTGTGAGAATTTGCCAGTGTTTTTCACAGGTTACTAGGGAAGTAATTTAAAACTCTGTTTTTACCACTCTTTTTAGGTAAYATTTCAGTAATCACATTGCCAGTTTCCAGTACCAACTCTCCGACTAAGATTTTGCCAAAAACCTTGGGACCAATCAATGTGAATGTTGGACCCCAAATGGTAAGTTTTTCAATTCCAGTAATGCCAGCTTGTGTAACTGGCTGTGGCTTCCTGGTGGTGTAAGACAGGAACGTGCGAGGAACTTGCTGCTTCCTGCCTCAGCCACAAAGAGCCCCTGGATGGAAGGGTGGTGATGTGRGGGCCCATCAGGACTGGCATGCTGGAACTGCCACTCCCAACCATGCTCTCCTATGTGCCCTTAGGGGGTATCTGTCATTCTGGCTTTGACTGGAAATTGAAACAGCTTTACCAGCTGAAGTTTAACTGTTACTGAAAATTGTATTGAGAAAAAACAAAAAAAAAAAATCTCATTATTGATACTCTGTGAATGTTTTGTGTCATGTTCTCACCAATAATGTCAGGCATTGACAGATTGTCTTGGATGTATTGGTAGAAATTTAACTTGTTGAAACTACTCTTCTTAAAACTCTTTTTCCTGTCAACAATAACTGTATATTTATATTCCAGGGATTTCAGATCTAGTTTTGAAAAAAAAGTTAGGTTTTCTGGTGGCCAGAGAGCTAAGTAGGTGATACTGTGAACAGTTTCCAGTAACCTGATACCTTCTTGCCAAGCACTTAGCCTGAGTACAGAACCATTTGATGTGTTTTATAAAAATTGTGTTGTGCTTTTTTCACATGAACAGTTGCTGCTGTTCTTCAGGGGGTCTGTCCCGGCTGGGCAGAGGGGTATACACATCACAGCCACCCCTGTGGCACTCCCTGCTTGCAGAGCTGTCCCCCCAGCACTGGCCAGGGGCTGCCTGCCAGGAACAGCTCAGTGCGTCAGCRCTGATGCACGTCTCACTCCAGCGTGTGCCCTGTGGCACCACACTGGAACAGTTCTGCCACTGAGGATGTGTCCTGGGAGTGCAATAAATAGCCCATAACAGTGAGAAGAGACACTTACTGCAGTTCCTACTCGTACGACTGACTTGTCAAGCCCTGCTTTTGGTTTAAGTGAGCACTACTTGCATTTTAGGTTCTGTAGCAAGTAGAAGTTACAAAAGCTACTATGTGATGTGAGACACATTTTTATTCTTYTATTCTTTTATTATGCTGCTTTGCAAGGATAGATTTTATTCAGAAAATATCTTATCATTAAATAGCCATTAGTGCAGGCCTTCTAAGAGACCCAGTGTAGAGCTGTGTTGTGCCAGACTGTTTAAAAGCACATGATCTGTCAGTAGTGGCAATGATAGCACTCCCTCGGCATCTACCTGTGTCAGCAACACGCTGCTTTATGTATTTATTTATTTAGGCTTTATTTAACCACTGCGGGCCCTTCAAACAGCTCACAGGCTCCAGGGTGCCGTGGGACAGGTCTGTGCCGCGGCGGATGCGTGGCTGTGCGGTKCGGGCTCGGTCGGGGCGGGTGCAGGAGCGGCCGGGTGCCGCTAGATGGCGGCGCGAGCCGAGCTGGCCGCGTGTCACTCACCGCCGGTGCCGACTGTCACCTACCGGCCACACCCGCGCTCCTTTCACCAAGCTCAGCCCTTGATACGTTTCTGCCTCCAGGCCAGAGGGCAATCAGGTGACAGAAGTGACACCTTTCCTGTGCCTGCCTGTGGTGTGTAAAGCCAGGTGCCTTTGCTTCTCCAGTATCAACCAGGAAATACATAACCTGTATCTGCTTTGGTTTCTKTAAAATTCTCTTTTCACTTGGTTCTGTCAAGCTGTACATTTGCAAACAATAAGTGAAATAAATTTATATCTTTAAGACAAAAAAGACATGTATGTAGTCATGATGTAGTACCAGGAGGGATGTGAAGTAATGCTCACTCAATGAGCTTGGGCAATTCTTCACATACTATTTTTCTACTTGTTTAAACAATATTGATGGATACCAAACAAATTATATACACTTATCAGTAGTTTGTATATACATATACACTTGCTGTACATATATATATATATATATATATATATATATATATGTTGTATATACTTATTTAGAATTATTTGTCTAGTTTATGTCCATATGAATAATACAGCAATATGGTACAATTAATAGAAAACTTAGCAGTACTGTAATGTACTTTGCTGTATGAAGATCTTCTGATGCCATCTCTTCTTTATATTGTGACTGCTTCTGGTACAGAATTAATTGTTACTTTTCTTAGTGCAATGCTTACTATGAATTTTGGGCTGTAGTAACCTCTATTTTCTTAAGAGAGCTGTGTTTTTTATTGCAAAATTTTACAGATCATAAGCACACCACAAAGACTGACCAGTTCAGGCAGCGTTCTGATTGGAAGTCCATACAACCCAACTCCAACRATGGTCACACAGACACACATAACAGAAGCTTCTGGCTGGGTCCCAGGGTAAGATTTTGTCTTATTTGGAGATGTCTGAGGATGTGTTCTGATCTTTTCCATTATTCATACTGTTGAATCTAAATATTGACCTGCAGTTTCTAGTTCTTGCACAACTAAGAGGAGTATAGCATGTGCTTTTCAAACTGGGAGGCACTTCTGATGTGTAGAGCAGGTGAACACARATTATAAGCACCAGTCACTTCAGTGTCTGCTTTAATTGTGGTTTCTAGCAGTGTCTGTTTCTTTGTGAAAGGACAGTCACAACTCCTGTTAAAAGAAGCCTTTTTTTCTGTAAGTTCATTGTATATCCATGTAGCACTGCTATTGAGCACAACAGCAGGTGCCTACAGAGGGGAGAGACTGTCAAAAACACACACAGGCCTTCAAGAATAAACTCTAATGGATAATTTTGAATATAATCAGTGTGGTATTTTTATGACTATTCTACATTAACAACAAGTTTTGTGGGGTTCTGAGGTGCTCCAGCCAAACATGACCTGCTTTCCTTCTTCTAGTTAAATCTGGTCTTTACAGTGTTTCTTGGCATTTTGTTTTAATACCAGTACTGCTGAGATTAGGTGTCTCAAAACAGAGATGCAGTGCTTTGCCTTTGAAAAAAGTAATTTATTTCTGCATTTACATTAATTTTTCTAATTAGTGATGARTGTCAGTATTGCCTTTTCAACACTAAAGGTGGAAATGGAGCATCTAGGAAAGAGCAGAAACGAGAGTGCAGYGTTTGTGTGCTGACTTTCCCCATTTTACTCTGTAAGCAAGGAGTGTCACAGATTGTACTTCCCAATTACACTACTCCACCCCATAGAGCTGATAAACTGCAGGCCCAGCCAAGCAGTTTTTGAGCTTAATTTTTTTGCTGAGTGTCTGTTCATTTCCTGAAATACCTTTTGAATGCACTTAGTTCTGATTTTATTTTAAAAAGGAGTTGTCAAAGATTACTTTGTTTCTGCGAATGTTGTGAAATGTGGAGGTCAGACAGACGTTTCAGAATCCAGAAGAGGGACAAACTCTACTGTCTGGTCACAGCTTGCTAAACCAAAGAATGAACACCCCTCGTTTTCTCAAGGTGATGGGGATTGCCAGAGCAGCCTTGTTGTAGTTTATCAACCACCACCACCAAGAAGCACTATCTTTCTGTTTGTGTACTGTTGAAGTCGAGACACAGGGTTTCCAATGAACCTTAGCTCTTGCTTAACCCATTAAAAGGATTGAGATAACTGCAGACAGACCAGTCAGTAGTGATCTGTGCAGCAGTTCATTCAATAGGTCATACTTTCATCTCAAGAACACAGCCGAGGAAGGGTCTATAGTATTGCAGAATTGAGGTGGCAAGACCTTGCTGAAGACAGTTCAGAAGACTGCTTGCTTTACCCATTGTTTACTCCACAGATTCCAAATTATTTCCAAGATCAAGTGAGAGGAGCACATTTATTCCCAGGGCTGTGGCAGCCTGGTGTACAGAGCMGGGCACAGCTCTCTCTCCACTCACTGCCATTTCACGCAGCCCCCACCAGTCCCAGCTGCTCAGCCCCCAGCTAAGCACCATGGACAGAAATCCCACTGCTGCTGAGGGAGAGGCCTGCTTGTGCATTCTGGACTGCACAAACAAATGTGTGCTGGCTTTCAAGCACAGGTGTTCAAACCCATCATTTTCCTTCAGCTTTCACAGCAGTGTTGTGTCTTTAGCTGTGTAAGTCTGTGCTGGAAGCCTTGTTATGGAAAGYACAGGGAAACATCCCCTAGCTCAGCACAGCTCTTGGGCAGTGTGACTTGAGCCAGCTGCAGCACGAAAAGCAGGGCTGGAAAGCAGCTCCTGTGGCCTGCATGCTGTGGGGAATAAATGGGATGATAAGGAATGGCCAGTGATTGCAGACAGCTGCTCCTGTACAAAATTCATGGCAGCTGCTTCTTCAGAGTCTCTCTCTTCAGCTCTGTATGCATCAGTTCTAAAAGGAACATGTTCAGTGTTTTACCTTAGGGTTTTGTTTAAAGATTTCAGAATATTCACTGGCTTGAAAATATAGGCTATATCTTATGCACTCTTTAAAGACATTTTTCTTCCACATGGAGGAATTTTAAATAGGAATTTTTAAAGGAGCCCAGCTTCTAATTTTTGATGGACTCTGGTCATCTAGCTCATGCAGCACTTCCTATAGTTCCAGATGAAGTGACTTCCTGAATTCATATGGGCAAAGCATGGTAAAATTGGGAATAGAATTTGTCTGGCAGTGAGCTCTGACAGCTTCCTCCACAACTCCTAACTTCCCTCAAATTTTGTCAAGCTCTGTGTTGTATTTTCCCTTTCAGTAAACATGTAAGAGCAAACACTAGAACCACCTAGGCCCCATATACAGTGATTTTAGTAGTCTATAAAATGTTATTTTCAACTTAAGTTTGAATTATCTTGTCTTAGGGAGCGAAAACGGACTCAAGAAATTATAGAGTCAGATTTTTCAGAAAGGTGAGTGTTACTGAACATATATTTTATGTATAGAGTCATACCTGGTTTACTTCAGATTTACCCTTCAGAAGGACAGGTGTCCAGTTGTTCCCACTTTCAGCAGTTTTCACTTTCTCACATGATAGCTCCATTGAGGTTTTTTTTTTGTCTTCTGGCGTTCCTTTTTACCCTTTTTTGTTTCTTTTATCTGTGTTCTGTTTTCTTAAATACATTCACAATTTTGAAAATCATTCTTGTTTTTTAATAGTTTCTTTAGCTTTTTACTAATGACAGTGGGCCTTTTTCTATAAAATATCAGCTCTCCCTGAAACACTTTACCAAATGAAATCATGAGTCTAATTTAAAAAAAAAAGAAAAAAACAAACCCAAAACAACACAGCTGAACTTTCTAAAGACTTCTGTTGAATTACACATCCAGATCTAGTTTGTGTGATAAAACCAACTGCTCCTGGTTTTTTTCTGTTACCATTACCTAAGCTCTTGCTTTTCTGGAAGCAGGTGAATGGAAAATAACCCTGACAGTTTGCCAGTTCTTAATTTGGCACCTTAAAACCAGTGCATATGTACTTACTCCCCACAAAAGAGATTCTTGTACCTTTTCTATAATGGGAATAGATATATATATATTATATTTTTTATTATGTATATGTATATATATATTCTGTGATGGACACACCTTAATTCCCCTAATGGCCAAGTTTAGTATCTCTTGCTGTATTTAAAATAGGGATGTCTGAACCTTTCTGTTTTAGGCACACACAGGAGAGATCCCCATAAATCTGGCTTCCAGGCACATAAGCACCCTGTGAGATTTTCCTCTTTTTTTCAGTTGTTCTTCTGTGAGACTACCTGGAGATTAATTACAAATCCATTTTAAGCATCTTTCCAGCAGCATATGTTCAAATGCTCTCAATGTAGAGATAGTCAAGGAAGGGCAAGGGACTATTGTGCACTTTTTTGCTAACTTATAAGAAACAACAAACTGATGAAAATAAGTTTTGTTTTTCATTTAGATAGTCCAGACTCCTGTTGCAAAAGGTAGACCTTTTGCTGTGTAACAAAGTAGCTTATTAACATTTAATGTATTAAAATAATACTTTTCTCTTTCCAGTAAGAGAAGCAAGAAAGGAGATAAAAATGGGAAGGGTCTGAGGCATTTTTCAATGAAAGTTTGTGAAAAAGTTCAACGTAAAGGAACAACTTCATACAACGAAGTCGCTGATGAGCTCGTATCAGAATTCACAAATTCCAACAGCCACCTAGCAACAGATTCAGTAAGMAAATATGTATTGAAATTTGTTATACCATTAGATTTGTCTGTTTTACCATGGATTTCTGTTTCTGCACTGTCCTGACACAGTCCATATTCTGCCTCACTTAACTAGTTCTCAAATATACTTACTCTTTGAATTGAAAAATGGACAATTAAAATGAATAATAATAATAATAATAAAGTAGAGGAATCCACCAAAATAACTAACTTTAAGAAAAGGCTACTCTTTTACCCACCATATGTAGTCTTGTCAGGCTTTTCAACTGTGCCAGACTTGTAATGATGGAATTTCYTGCACAGATGCTTCAAGCCTTTTTACAACCAAGCATGCTCATGTGGGATCCAAGGAGTAACACAGCTGAAGGGTCATGGTTTGGTACCACTYTGACCTGAATTGCCATTTTAGTGTTTTATATTCTCCATGTCTATGAGTGATATGTTCAGTTGCTTGTCCCTTTTTAATTCTTTTRTTGTAATTAGTGTTGTATTGTTTTCTTAGCAGGCTTATGATCAGAAAAATATTAGACGAAGAGTTTACGATGCCCTCAACGTCCTGATGGCAATGAACATAATTTCAAAGGAGAAGAAGGAAATCCGATGGATCGGCCTTCCTACAAACTCAGCTCAGGAATGTCAGAATCTAGAGGTAAAGGGAGGTACATGGGAAATTCTGTTTGTTTAGTTCAGATGTTGTGGTAATTTACTCGCTCTTCTTTAGAAGAGAGGTTTTTTCACAATTCGAACCTGACTGGTTTTGATGCTTGTGCAGTATGAAAATACAAATTCTGATATTGGAATACACTGAAAGAATATATTGTTCGTGTATGCTTAGTTCAATTTAGTATACATTACATGACATTTTTATAGAAAGCCAAGCTCTTTGCTTTACAAAAATGGATGTTAGTCAAATCAGGAATTACTTTTAAGATTAAATCCTGTAGTACCTTGAATTAATCAAAAGAAAGCTAAAAGAATTGATGGTTCAGTTATGCTCTCAACATGGTTAACATTTAAAAGGCCACCAATTCTCTATTAATGTCTGTACTTGGAAATCTCATTCAATGGAAATTAAACAGAAAAGTAATTCCTGCTGGGATGTCAAATACTAGTTATAAATCAGAGAAAACCAAAAAGAAGTTTTTCTTATTGGTTATTTCCATTATTTTTCCAGCAGGCTAAGAGTTACAGTGKTTTTTTGCAGGCATGCCAGAATTTATATTCACAAATGTTGCCTGTCCTTCAGGCCAAATGTGCTATAAATAAAAAGCACAAGTCACTGTATTTACTGCAGCGTGCTGTAATGGCTGTCTGCAAATATATCTCAGTTTGTGATACTTGGGCATTAGGTATCTTAAAAGGTGGGTGGGTGCCTCTCCAGTACAGAACAGTTCTTTTTGTGCAAAGTCATTTATATCAATTGTCTTTCTAGATGTGGTAAGGAAAAAGCTTTTACTGTCCTTGTCCATTACAGCACCTTGAAAAATACATCCCTCCAAGGAGAACGCATGTGCTCAATCATTATGCTCCAGGATGTTTTTTTTTAAATTCTGGATAGATCTACATTTTGTATGAATTCATGTGCATACATTGTCTCCAGTATAGGTTATTGTTRCAAATATGGGACTTGAATTTCATTGTCTCATCTTCAATGATCATATGCAATTCACTGTTTCAGGCTCTAATTGCACACTCACAAAATGGAAGCCAGGTATATTTTTCAAAAAATGTTGCTTCCCCAGATGTAATAGAAAAGAATATAAAACAAAACTGCATTTTCATGGTGTGAAAATCAGAATTCATTTTCCTTGTAAAGCTACAGAAAGTGGCAACTCTTCTTACAATGCAAATCCATAAAAAGATTACCGGTACAAAAACGAGTGCAAAAGAAACCATACCTAAATRATGTCTGTACTGTATGCTGGTTTTAAGAGTCCCAGCAAAGAAAGTCATCTACTGTGCTCTGAAAGAAGCATTTTAAACATTAAAGTGGGTGAGGAGGGAACCACCACAAAGCAACATTTTAAATAAGATAGAGGAGTTTGGACCAGCTAAGTTTTAAAAGACCACATAATTTAGTTTCAATGAAACTAATTGAATGAAAAGGTAATTTAAGGGTGTATTATTTGGGGAGCCACTGATAGAGTGCTGGCACCAAGAGGATGATGAAGAAAATTCCCTTTCAGACCCACTGCGTATTGTCCAGTTCTTCAGCATTGCCCCAGAGACCAGTTCCAAACACTGCTGTACCTGCAGGGTCAGCAGGCAGCTTGTCCCAGCACTTYGTGTCCAGGTGACAACCTGGCCACCTCAACAGCAGTAACTGAACTGTCACAMGAGTTGTGCTCATGGAGAAAATGTTACCTCTACCCCTTTTTGTTGCTGCAATCTTGTCGGTTTAATCAAGTCTCAGACAGAAAGTGTAGGTCACTGGAAAGATTTGGGTGATCATACCAAGCCCAGCCTCCATACATTAATGTGTAGTAGTTTGGAGCTAGGAGAAAAGTGGGACATGCACATTTCTAAAAGAGTAGAGGGCCAAAGGGAAAAAAAACCCAAAGCATCCCCTCAAGCAAGTGTTTCATTTGGTGTTAATTGGAATTCGGCGGGCARGGCAGAAGAGGCAGAATGGGGTGGGGAGATAATAGTCTCTTGTAATAATTAAATCCTTACTGGAGTTAAAATAGTTGACAAAGAAAGAAATTACAGTCGGCTAGGCCTATTTAATGGAGAAACTCATATGACCATGCAATTTGCCCCCATTTACAAAGAAAGCCTGTTCAGTTTGGCACAACGGAGCAGACAAGGTAACTTAGTAAATATCTTGATGCATTTATATTCATCTTTTAAGATAGAAAAACAGAAGAGGATTGAAAGGATAAAACAGAAGCGAGCCCAACTGCAAGAATTGCTGCTGCAGGTATATTTAATATTAATTTTTTTCCCCCATAAATGAAAATACCAATTGCAAATCCAATATGTTAGAAACTGTGAAGTTCTTTCTAGATTTAACTAACAGCTGTGACATWCTAGGGAGAAAAGTTTGACCCATGTGACCTTTCTGGATTCTAGTAGGGGAGTCTCTTGCTCTCASTTTGTGGTTCAGTTTTGCCTGCTGTAAACCAGCACGTTCCATCTGTGTGCCATGAGCTTTCCTAAGTGTTCTGCTGAAGCTTTGCCAATGTTAGTCAGAATGGGAACAACTCACGAGTCTCCTTTGTGGACTCCAAGTCCTCCCAGAGCTACCGAATCCTTCTAAATTTCTCTTGGATCTAAGCTATGAAGTTCACAACAGAACATGAAAAGTGTACAGAATTATTTCAGCGGATATGGACATTTCGGGATCTTAAGAGCAGAAGACTGGCAAATCCAACACCTTTACATTCTGTCATTTGCCTTTGAGATGAGTTTTGGCTTTTAATTTCTGAAATAGATTTCAAATGCATCTTGTTTATAAAGGTACATTTTACAAATACAGTTAGGAGCATTCTTTAGTGTTCTGGTCTATGCAGACTTTTAGAAATTTAAATGCAATCAAACTATTCTATGAGATTACAGGCAATGAGGCTGTATTTTTTTCCTGCCAACTGATACAATTTTCATGTAATTGATACTCACTGGAACTTTCAACATCTGATGCTTCTCCTTTTTACATCACAAAAAGCTGTTTCTCTGCTTAGGGTACAATTGTGATTCTGTCTGACCCAATAAATCCGCAGTTCCTCTAAGACTAGCATGAAATTACACTATTGAAAATAAAGCAGCTCAGGCCCTCTTAACTTCTAGTCCAAATATGACAAAGTTGACTTCCTTATGCTTCACAACTGTCATTATTGGCCTGATTGTGTTGATTGACAAAGGGTTTACCAATCCTTTGGGATTCTGGCTATCCATCTTCTTCCCTTTCAGTGGAGTAAGTAGTGCCTCAAGTGTGTAACACACTCACTTCCAGTCCCTCAAATAACATTTCCTAAACACATTTTCATAAATGTGCAGTCAGATGTAAGAAACGAGCAGGCAGTGAGTGGTGTCACAAACAGCATCTATTTAATAACTTCCAGAGGAGAATTCCCAAACTAATTATTTTGAGAGGAAGGTGATGGATGAGAAGGGAAAGAGAATACAAACACAGATCTTAGGAAGTAGGGGAATTTCTGTTAACTTTTGTTTCAGTGTTAACTCTCTTCTAACCTGAGGTAATTACACATAGAAAGTACGAGAGAAGACCTCTGACTCCAGAGCTTTTTCAAAGGGATTTGTGAAGCATTCCCTWGCAAGCCTTGTTGTTCCTTTCTTGTTTCTTCTTCGGGGACTGTGAGGTGGGGCAGAGTCAATAGTATATGTGTGCAAAATAAAAATTTGAGTTAACTTCTGCTTCTGGTAAACTTCACCAGTGCAAAGACAAAGTCAGGCCACAACTCACTTTTTGACTAAAAATTACTGAAGGTATTGAGAGTTGGTAAATAAGACCTACAGCATTTAATTTTCTGGAAATACTGATGCCTGTTCTTTTATTGTCAGTGATCATTTTTTTTTCTTTCTTCCTTTTTACAGCAAATAGCATTTAAAAACTTGGTACAAAGAAATCAGCAAAATGAACAGCAAAATCAAGGCCCTCCATCTTTGAACTCCACGATACAACTGCCTTTCTTAATAGTCAACACTAGCAAAAGAACAATTATAGATTGCAGCATATCAAGTGATAAGTGAGTGTTTATGGAATTAATTTTTATAATTTTATTTTCTTAGTGGACTGGAATTTTTCCTCAAACAAGTGAGGGAAACTTCTCTAGTTTACTAAAAGTAATTACTGTATTTATATTTGCAAGTGTCACTTGAGGGGGTTGCTTATTGTTTTGAAATTGGGGTTTTTAAAAAATAYTTAATGAAACTGCAGTAGTAATATGAATGAGTTTATTAATACTGCCTTACAATCTCTAGTTAAAACAGTCTGACTTTCACTGTTGTAAAAGGCACTTCAAGCTGACATTTCAAAGTGCATTCACTGCACAGGAGAAATAACTGAATGAAACTATATACTAGGACCAGCACTACTTTTTAGAGCAGCCATGTGGTTGTGCCTCTGAATTGTTACTCTTAGTCTGCCATAAAAATGTACACAGTCGGAAACAGAAGATTATCCATGTGACACAAAAGTAACATAYTACGAGTGATAACAACTTTGAAAAGTGTATTTTAATAGCAAAAAGTTATTTGAAGGAAAAAATACAGAAATTTGTAATACCATCTTTGAGAGCAAACTGCTACAGTTGMATTCAAATTAATCTGAAAATCTTACATAATTGTGGGTGCTAGTGCTCTTCACCCTGTGAAAATATGGCTGAAGTATGAGGTGCTGTTACGTTAATTGCTAATTGGCTCACAACCAGTTTATTAGCTGAAAATAGCGGGCTTTGCTCTAATACTGTAGATTACAGATTTCACTCTCTGCTATGCAAATCCTGTACTGAACTTCAAGTCAATCAGACAGCAAAAAYAGWCAGGCTCTAGTAACCKAAGCACCAGCATGGAAAACAGCAATACTATTAAAAGTTGAATTTTGTAGAAAATTAGACTGAAGTCCAATATTTTCTGAGTCGAAATTTTGGAATACTGTCATGAGCACTGCAGTTCAGCAAGCTGGAAATTTTAGGATTTTTWATTTAGTGTAATTATACCCTTATTCTATAGTCACACTATAGAAGTCTTCCTGCACTTTTAAACAGGGCTCTACATTTAGTTTCGAAGTTGTTAAAAAGTTGAAAACTTTCATACTGAAACTTGAGAACTGCTGCTTTGAGTTGTCAGATTAATCTGGCATTTGGGATCCAGACCAGTGGTCTTCTATGGTCTCCAACTGTGTGAAAACACTCCTACTAAAAGTGAGCACACCAAAATTATTTCAGTTGTTGATACTTCTTCAATTTATATAACCCAGCTTTGGTATTATGTCATCTGGAGGTCATTAAGTGTATGACCCAAATTAAGCCAGCTTTYCACTGTGGTTATTATTTGTGCAACTGATTCGTGGCAGCAGCAGCAGATACACAGTGCCAGAAACTGCTGTGTTTTAACCACTGTTACACTGATCTGCTAAATAAGGCAGTTAGCAAAGGTATTGACTTGGTTTGGAGAATTCACAGTCTGTAGTTTATTGAACAATATTTGCATTCCATCACTTGTCATCTTGAGTGCTTTCCCTGYACGTGGTTCCAGTCTGAAAGTCACTTTTTAAAGGGCTGCCATTTTCTTTTCTTCTCCCAAGTAATATTTATATAAAGCTCTGATGTTAGTAGGTCCAATGAAGAGCTAAACTCACATTAGCTACTCAAARTTGTTCTTACAGAGGAACTTCTAAAGGAAAGTAATTGCTTGGAAATGTCATACATATAAAGGTGGTCTGATATCATGAGAAACATAGGTTTGTGTCCTCTAAGCTTTTTCCTATGCAAGAAAAGGAAAACCAGAATGAAGTGTCTCACAAATTAARAAAAAAGAGAAGTTATTGGGCGAGYTTTGTTTAGAGTTTGAGAAGGTAGATGGGTGCCAAGCARCATACTGGGAGTGGCATTTCTGAAGCTGTAGGAAAACCAAAGTCTTCAGGTAAAAAGGAAGTAGTTAAAAAATTTATTGTAAAGATGAGGCACCTGAATCATGTTAGTCCCATTTAAACAGAAAAAAATATTTTAGTATATATATATATATGTATATATGTATATGGTGTCTGTCCTAGGAAAAAGAAAGAAAAAACAATCGGAATACCTTGTTTTAAACAAGCATTCAAACACCACAGATGTGTCAGAAACTTGAAAAATTGGAACATCTCTAATGGGAAGAACATGTAGGAGGTGGCCTCTTGTACTGTTACAGAAAGAACTGCCTGTAGCAGCAGAAAATCCAGATCACTGGTGATCAGATTGGCACTTCCTATGGGTAAGGGATAGGAACTGTACCCAAATTTTGTATACACAGTATTATTAGCCTCTGAATCTACCTTTTAGTACTTAATTAATAATAAGGCAGTTTAGTAGATCATTCTGTGACAACAGAAGTTAATTTCTCAATAACAGCTGAAATCATGCTGGGAGTTACTAGGAAAAACAGTACGGACTACAGTGTAAAACCAGACACATGCAGTGCTTTATATCTGGAATACTGTATGCTCTCATGTTCTTGGAAAAGGTATGGTATAACCAGGGGAGGCACAGGAGGGCAGCAGGAAGGAATGAAGCTTTGGAAAGGCTTTGGCAGAAGGAACAGGAGGCTCTTTGGCCTAGAAAAGAGAGGAGTGGATTCCCAGGTGTCTCTAAAATCACCAGTGATATGGTGAACAGGCATAGAGAACAGCTGCACAGTTGCTTATTAAATTAGGAGACATTAAGAGAAGGTATCAGGTGACAACAGCAAGTGTGTTTTGTAACAGTCTTTGCAAATCATATTACTTGATTTTGTTCATACCTAAAGTTTATATAACTTCAAAAAATGGTCATGTCGAGTGCTTGAAAGAAAATCCTAAAACAGCTTTTAACAGCAAAGCAGAAGAAGTGTAGAAAATTCCCCTATCAGGGACTGCAGGCTGCTAGAAATTCACTGGAGAAATACTRAAGACTGTCAATTTCTCAGTTTGGAAACTTGCTGGGAGGGGGAAAGAAGTTACCCTTTTTTCTAACATTCAGTAGTTGGCCACAGCAYATGGGAGAAGAAATGCAGAGCTATCAATAAATGAAGCTTTTAATCTTGTGCCATAAAAGTGAATTCAGTTATGAGTCAGTAATTACACAGTTTGCTGGTAGTAGSTTGTTATGACACTGAGCTGTGCCACTTTAGGTAGCAGGAATGTAATTGTACCAGTTGGAATTAYAGTGGCACATCTTATTTTACCTCTTAATATGATTATGCTGAATAAAGGTGCATAAACAATAGGTTTTATAAGTAATGCAGTTTGAGCCACAAAAGTAATGCTGTCTGTGACTGACAAGTACACCCAGCATTGCATCACCAAATGAAAATTCCRTGTACAAACTCAAAGCTGTGAAGCTCCCAAGCTTCCTGGCTCCAGGTATAAGAAAACAAGTATTAGAAAAGAACCTATTAAGAAAATCAACATGCAATCTTAGCTAATGGAAGATCCCACGAGTGAGTTATCTTTTAAAGACTGTACCTCACAGATGGGTTGCTTTTCTAGGGATAAAGGTTTTGTCAGCAGAGAATGAGGTACTGGGATTTAAGTTTTATTTTATGGACCAGCACTGTCCAGGCTTTTAATACTTTTAAGGACAGTGTCAGGTCAGCCTAAATYCCCCTGCTTTTCTTAAAGCTGTCTGAAGTTGGTATCTCAATTTCCACTTTTATATGCAGTTAAAAACATTTTGAGAGTCCTGCAGCAGATATGGTGGGTTGTGAAGACACCGGACTCTGAACAGACTGCTTTTCTAGCTGCATCCAAAAAAGCAAAATTATACCAAAGTAAATAGGTCAGTTCACAGGAGGAGTGTTGCACATTAGAACAGAAAGTGAAATGTAAAAGCAGAAAAACAAAATAGTTATTTTGGTGACAGGGCTTCAGGTGACCTTATTGGCTTTACTGCAAGTGAAGGTTCATGTTTAATAAGGCCTCCCTCTTCCCCTTTGAATCTACTTAATGAGGTAGAAGATTTTAGACTTTCTTCCTGCTTTGGCGAAGTTACTTTAATTGAGAAAGTGCCATTTTAAGCCTCTAGGCATTCCAGTCACAGAAAAGAGAAAGCATTTCTTGCACTTTTCTTTCCTTAAGGATCCTGCACAGAAAAAAAACAAGGCTCTAGACACTTACCTGAGTGCATACCAAAAACATCAGAGAAAGAATATGCAAGAAAAGCACAGCTGTGCTCTTTTCAGAATTATCTCACTTTTAATTTTTTACATGCAGATTTGAATACCTCTTTAATTTCGATAATACTTTTGAGATTCATGATGATAGTGAGGTGCTGAAGAGAATGGGAATGTCCTTTGGACTTGAAGCAGGCAAATGCTCAGCTGAGGACCTAAGAACTGCAAAATCACTGGTGCCAAAAGCTTTAGAAGGCTACATCACAGGTAAGTTAAATATTTTTCCTGATCAAATTCATAACCTTACTTAACTGAAGCAAATTTAATTATATTAACTTAGGTATGTAACATTTGAGGGTCTGTGGGACTTAGTAGGGTTGGTACATGAACCAGTGATTTTACTGTTAATTTTGGAAGTTTTATCTTAGTTGTCCTGTTGATTTAATTCATACTGATTTATAAAAACAAACTTCTGTKTGAGCTGCATTATGAAGAATTTATTTCTTAAATAACTAAATTGATACCAAGAGCAGATTTTCATGTRTTAGTATTAATTTTGAGAAACTGGATGTATGGAGGAGCAAACTGGAAGAGGGCCTCTCTTCCCAAGCTGAGGAAATGGAAAGAAAAAGAGTATCTTGAACTRTTTGGGTGTAATCCCTCAGGCGCCAGCAGGTGCCACCTAAGAACTGAGCTTCTCTAAATAAAGCAAGAGGCTTGAAAGACTTCAGGACAAGCAGCAGAGGCTTTTTCCTGCCATGTTTGAACAGGTCATGCTTAAAGACACAAAACTAAAACTTCTTCAGTGTTGCATCATTGGACTAGAGCTGCTAAAATATGCTCTCCCTTCCTATAGTTACTGTCAGAGTGTGTTTTCTTGCTCTACCCACAGCTTGAAATTAGCCCAGCATTTTCTTACATTTCTGGGAGGGACTTTATCTGTAACAGAAGTGTTACCCAATTAGTCACTGGGTACAGACCTTTTTGAGGAAAGGGAGCAAAGCTCTTGCCCAAACTTCTCTACTGCTATATGTAAACTAAAATTCCATTACATTCATTAAAATTAGWATATTTTTAATGGCTTAAAAACTACATGAAATGTGTTTATGTTTATTAACACTTGTGTCTTCCTACTCCTCTTGTCCTGTGGGTTTTAAAACTAAGATTTCTTATGTTATTTTGGGTCAATTTTGAAATTACACCCAAGGTCTTTATAAGACAGCAYTGACATCAAAAAGATAAGTTGAAAGAAATCTTGATTTGTTCCTTGCAGGTTCATTCAACTCASTATTATTTCCCATGTGATTTATCAGCAATGTAAAAAGGGGGAAARGAGCAAAACCCACATTTTTTTAATAGTGTTACAATGTTGAAGTTCCTTAATTGCTCCCATGTGTCAATGATCAAACTAAAATTTCTTTTTCATTTTAAGCCTGCATTAATTTACCTCCAGAGAACTGGGTTTCTTTACATTTGCATAAAAYCCTGTGTCATTACACTATTTATTGAGTACTTCTCTAGTAGCAAACCAGCAGCCTGGAACCTATATGGAGTTTTAATCATAGGAAATGCATTGATTTTATTTTTTATTCCAATATCATTCAGGCAAGTCATGTATTCTTCAGACATGGGTTATGTTCAGCTGTTTCAGCCTCTGTAAAAATGAGCTCAGAGGTGTTCTTAGTAGAACATAGTTCTTAGTATGTATTTTAATATATATACATATATAAATATATAAATATATATTTGATTTATATACACACTTGTTCAGCTATCAACAATACTCTTGTGCAGCACTTATACATTAATTACTAAATCTATTGAGGGTATTGCTGTAGAGCCTTGTCATGTAAAGTRTAAATTTCTACCAAGTGTATCTGATGCAACAAGATATGCCTACTTTGTAACAATGCCACTCTCAGATTGGACTGCACCACCTTGGGAAGGTKGATTCAAACTGCTTTCCCTGGTTTTAAGTGTAGCTATTAGTAACTCATCTACACTGCCAGAAGAAATAAGTCTTTTCATTGTAGGCACACTTCTACTTTGATAGACTGTTCCATACTGAACWGCTCCCCATCTTTCACAAACCTCTTCCTTTCCCTTGCTCCTTAGAGCCCACTGGAAAAATTAAATTTTGAAATATAAGGCAATGAAAATACAAGGCAGGGATATGCATTTGGGAATCRCCTTTCTGCCATGCTTCTACCCTGCTCTTCAAAAAGAAAAGTTAACTAGCTATTATTCAGAAGTGTTAAWAAACCACAAGATTTAGTGGTTTTACTAGCAGTATGTTGTTACTCTTCTGGAATATTAAACATGTACACACAGGTACACTCCTTCAAAATACCAGGAAACAACACTGTGGTACACCTCTATTAAATACTATGCAGTCATTCCAAATGGTTTAGCCTCCTCCTGCAAAGACAAGAGGAAGCTGTCAGAACATGTTTTCTGTAACATCAAACTTGCATTTAGGGCAGTCTTAATGAAAGACATCCAGCTCCATTCACATTTAACTGTTTTCATCTATTCTGKCCTCACAGATCACCCTAAAACTGCCACTTAACATTTGCTGTCCTGTTCCAAACACTGARCACCACTCTTGTTAGCCTTGTTTTGTACCATGACATGTCAATACCTTGCTCCTAACAGGTTTCCACAGCACAAACTAAGGTAGTTTGTGGATCCATACCAACGCATGGTGAGCCTTTTTACATGGCTGTGTCAACCTGTTTAAAACAGTCCCTTGTGCTAKGCAGCACTGCCAAACCCTGAGGAACCAAAGCTTGACAAAGGACAAATGAGAGTATGTATGTAAGCACACATGTAGTTATTCCTCTTACCTGCTGTTAGAGAACAATTTAGATAAATATGAGTAGTGCAGTCCCAGTTTATTGCCACTGTGCTGTCCAAAACAGAGGCTTGGTTAGGCATAGAACTTACCAGTAAGGAGCCTAACTCCTGGTTTAATGTGTCCAGCTGGAACCACATTGCAAGCACCATGGAAAAAGAACGAGACAATCTTGGTAAGTTTGTTTTGATGTTATCTTTGTGTTGAGATGGAATTTAGGTAGGTCAACCGAAATACCTTACCTGAGAAACAAAAGCGCACCCACACCCCCCGCCCCCAATCCTGTAAGTGTAACTGGGTCAGTGGACTTGTTTTGCTGATTCTCTTGGCAGAAAATGTGCGTAACTGGAAACGACAACAGGCATTACTTGTTATGGAATTTGAAAACAAGTGCTACGGGGCTTGAATGTAACCTGTTCATGTCCCTCAGGGTTTTTTTAACAAACTACCTCCAGAAACTCAGTGTTATTGCCAGACCATTTTAATGATCTTGACCCTACCATTTCCTATCCCTAGGGAGAGTGCCTTGCATGTCTTATGTGTAGTGTACGACAGGCTTTCTCTTCCATTCTTGGCACCAGCCCTTTGCTGTGGTCTGTCTGGTGGCAGAGTGGATTAGGAGGCTGCCCCACAGCCAGCCATGAGAGCAGCAGRCTGAAACCGCCTTTGGCCACCAGAAAATGCACAATGACACAAAGACTGCCTGGGTGGCTTCACTGCAGTATCTCAAACCCAAATAAATTCCTTTTGTACCTTCACCAAGTATAGCAGCCAAGGCACCTGGAGCTGTTGGGACATTTCATAGGGTCAGGCTGTTGCAGTAAGTGTCCATAAAGGACTCCAGCTCTTATTTTAGAAACCTGTGATTGCATACAGMCATCAGCCAGGTTAATCTGCTTCAGACAAAGGGAAAAGCTGCGTGCAAAGCGTAAGTTCATTCACAAACACACAACACATCTACAGTATAAAATTAAATTAATGCTACTGGTACCTTCGAAAGTTAACTAAGGGATCCTGACTACAAAGAGAATACAAAACTTAAGATTGTAAAAGGTATTAAAAATGTAAGTAACTATCATAAATACTGTTATGGGTTCTTCCAGATATGTCTGCGGGATTTTCATGGATAAACCAAGGGTTACTTTCAAGTTCAGCACAACCAGTTTCCCATTTCGAGGCAGCTGGAGGCACTTATGATGCTAAACCAAGGTAAATAAAATAATTTTCTATTCAAGGATAGTTATATATGCTTGTGGTACTTTAGTAACCTGGCTATTTCATACTGTTTGCATTCAGGAATTGAGATGTTTTCTTATAATGGTTGATTTTGATTGTGAAAAAGTCTCTGTCTTGATAATTATATTTGAAAGGTCAAATCAAAGTGCTTTGAATAATGAACATACCAGCTATTTTGTACCTATGTTTCATAAGACTAGAATCACTTTCAAGCCCCTTTTCCAGACTAATCTTAAATTCTGCCTGGGCATGGACTATAAATTGGTAATTACATGTGGATAAAAGCCTGGTAATATTCCTGAAAAAGGCAAAAGAATGTCTTGTGTCTAAATGCACTACTGTTTAACCTCTCATGAAAGTAGTCCACACAGTATAACAATAATTTAAAATTAAAGCCCAACAATCAAATGAAAAAACACCACCAGCAAAAACCCAATCTAAAATACACCTCAACAGTGAGACTTTGCTTGGAGGTTACCTGTACCATAAAATAATGGAAATAAGGATTATTCTGAAACAGGCTCTTTCTCGTAGCATTTAATAGCTTCATTTCATATTGCAAACATTTCTGTGTATTAATGAAACTGCAATGGATTTCTTCTTTCTTTTCTTCAGCTTAAGTAATTCTACTAGTTGTTTATGCAAAAAAAAAAGTCACCCAATAATATTTTTTATGCAACATTAGAAAGCTTTATCAGTTTTCCTAACTAATAGCTGTGTTTACTGTAAGACTTCAGGATTTTTCCTTGTTGGTAGCATTTCTTCTAAAGGAAAAGCTGAGGCCAAAAAGAAAATGCTTAAAACCTCATGAGAAACCCTCTAAACTTCACCCTTTCTGTTGTTTTGCTAGTGAGAATCCAGGGTTATGTTTGGATGCTGAAGTGGCCTTAGCAACTGGGCAGCTTCTTGCCCCTAGCAGTCAGCAGTCCAGCAGTGCAGCATCCCGGGGGGAGACGCCCTGCTCCTTCAATGAGGAAGATGAAGAGGATGAAGATGAAGATTCTTCTTCCCCAGAATGAGGACAGTAGAAAATGGAATATACAAAATGCTGCTCAGATATTCTTAATGGGAGTTCCTGTTTGGATTTTACTGGTTTCTTGCCTTTGTTTGCCCTGTGTTCAATGATGCAAGATGGAAGTTTCAAAACAAGTTTACCAGTAGCTGAAATAGAAAACTTTTTGTAACTGAACACAGAATGACATTCAGAGACAGAGTAAAGTGGTTTTTATCAACTATAAACGAGGAAGAGAAGCAAGTCCCTGGAGATCTGACAAAGTATAAGTTCATCTTTTCCATGTTGGGACTCAAGTCTCTGTCTTCCCCTTGTCTTTTTCAGATGGAGAAGAGTCAGTCAGTAAAAGCCAATTCTTGCATTGTCTTTTGGCTGTGYTGCCTTTAGAAAAACGGGGAGAGAGAGCACATACAAATGCGCTAAAATAGTTATTTAAAACTATCTTGTATGAAAGTGGTTATAGGGAAAAGGGGCTGTTAAAATGTTTGCTTTCTTTCTGTTCAACTTGCTGTATAGAAGATTCTTAAAGTAATATAAATTGCGAGTGATTAAATGAAATTTGAAATAGTTTAAATCCATTTTAGATACTCTAAAAGTAACATTAGTATAAAAGGTTCATATGTCCATTTATATTGCAGGCCTAATTTATTATMAGTGATTATTCTTAACCATTACTAAAACAGTCAGGAAAAAAAAACAGAATTCTCTGCACCAGCTCTTTTCAAGGAAAAAAAGTTTAAAAATTGTATTTCTAGATTACAGTGTACTCAGTGTAGCTTCTCCTTTAGTGTTCTAACTTTACATAATCCCGTTGATGTTAGAGCATGTGGGGTTTTTTTTTTAAAAAAGGCCTCCCTCCATGTTAAGGATCTCAGGCAGCATGTTTTCAAGGCAGTCTTCAAATCTGGGGTGGGCAGGTCACATAACTATTCAAGTCATTGGCTGAGGTTCTTAGGAAAAAAATAAAATTTCAACAATATGTCATTTCATGTTTTGCATTCTGGTCAGCTTGGATTCTGACAGACTTTCTAAATCAGTAATTTTTGTTGCACTCACCTTGATGCGCCTTTGAAAACTGTACCACTTAAAATAATCTGTKGTTCAAGTTGAATTGTTAAATTAGACTTGCAGCAGGAGGCTGTGTTTTAGCTAACATCACATCCAATCATAAAGACCTTCTTTTTAAAAAAGCCTTTAATATCAGTGCAAAATGCATTGTAGATGTGCTCTTCCCCATGGTGTTCCAGCATCCAGGACTTTAACTAGTCTCGAAATTAACTATTTTAGTTAGGTAAATCTTTTCAGAGTTTATACTGTCTGTAAGTTATTGCCCTCTGCCAGCTGTCTGAGGCAGCTGTCCTGGCTCCCGTACTGTACTGGGAGACAGATGAGGCAGCTTGTCCTGCTGTTGCCATGTGAGCAATGGCAGCAGACGATCCCTGGGCTGCTGGGAGCATTACTCTCACAGCCTGGGCTGTGCTCACATCACCTTTTACAACCAAACCTGCACTCACTCAGGCCACCAAGATCCAAAAGAACCAAGMCTAAGGTACAGAGAGAAAATGAGGCTCCAGCTCAAGAGCTGCCTGGCTGTGTGCAGGAGTTAGCACAGGACTGGTAAGACTGTGACRAGCAGCCAAGCAGCACCTGCATGTTCACATTACAAACTAAAGCATCCAGACAGAAACTTGCCACAGATAGTTCAAACTCCTGCACTTGAGTACAGTGAGGGCAGCAGCAGTATGTAAGTATGGCTCTCCACTTCGTTTTACACAAATGAGTTGCAAATGCACAAACTAAAATGCCTACCACGTATTACCCCCTGGGGCAATACTGTTAAGACCATCCTGTGCTCATGGCTCACAGGCGGCAGCAGACTGAGGGCTTTACACCACCTCACTTTGAATCTGTAACACTACCTCTATACCAWGAAAAGCTTTACAAATGCAAAAGAATATTCTTGCTGAGACAGTCAGTGAGCAAARTGGCTCACTTTTGAAATGGAGGGTGAAGGGAACAGGTACTCCAGACATATGACAATGGAATTGTCAGCCTCATTAATGRCCTCTTATTTAAACAGATAATCACTTTCATTCTTAAAAACCCACTGCTCTTTCAAAAACTGTCCTTTCAGTCAGCTTTCATTGGAGAGGGTAGATCAAAGATAACTTATATATGCATGAGCCTAAGGAATTCTTTAAGAGGGAAATACCTTCCAAAGTAGTTATACTTCCCTCCTCCAAACAAYACAGTAGGGACACATTTAACTTTACATTTTCTTCACACTTCCCGCTCAAGATCTGTGTAAAAAGAAAAACCAGCAAAACWCTAAACAGTTCCTTAGAGCAGCACTTTGAACTATAAGAACCTGGCAAAAAAAGGTTTCCAGCCCAGAAATGGAATGTATTTTGTTAGCAGGCATTGGGCTTTTTGCTTTACAGGGGGAAGATCATCAATGATACCTTTCTCGTCCATTGATGTCTGTGCCCTTCAAAGCTACAGCCTGCACAGCTACTTGCTTTCTGGCAAACATCATCAAATCTGAAGATAAAACATAAAAACCATGGCAGCATATAACATTTATTTGACAGCTGAACTAAGCCTTTAAAAGCTATTTTTCCTGGACTAGTTAAATACAAAGGATAAAACAAGTTATAACATTTAGAAGAGACTTCAAAAGTAAATTCTTTCCTTGGCCCTCTTTGTGCCTAGTTCCAGTTGAGGATGAAGTTCAACTAAAGCGCTGTGGTCTTGTGGCTACATTGAAGTCTGGGAACTAGGAGAATYTGGGGCCTTGTCCAGCCACAGTCACTTGTGTATGATCTCAGACAAGCCTTTCTATCATTTCTGTTGATCGTAGCTACCATATTTTAGAAAGAAACAAAAAACACACACAAAAACCACAAACCAAAACAGGCAAATGCAAGACCTTACTAGAGGYAGTTACTGCAATTGTGAATAACAAGAGGGTTGAGAATATTAACCAACCACAGAGCTCCCACTAAGCTCATGGCAGTGCTTGTGCTCAACTACTTCAACACACAGCCTTCCCTCCTGCTGAGAGCCAGCAGACATTTTCCAGGATAAAATGGTCATGACTGGTTTTCCCATTTTCTATTCAGTTCCCATCATCTTCTCCTGTCTCATGCAATACCCATGGCATTCATTGGCAGGAATCAAGCAGCAACTGGTATTAGATGATATTTCTAAGAAAAAGTTAATGTTTAAATTTTCATGAAACTTATATTTAAGATAAATTTATATGACATTTCTGTATCTTGGAATACTCTCTCTTAGTTATACTTTCAGAAGGCACTTGGCTGCAAGCAATATAATGCTGTATGTAAATGCTTTTATAGCTAATAGTGCAGTAAACAGCTTTATTTCTGGACTTTGTGGTGCTTGAAAAATCTGCATTTGACTTAAAAAACTTGTCAGCTCCACTAATTACATAAAAAAAATACGAGTGGGAGACAGCAGTTTTCTATTAYGTGGAAACCTGGCATAATATTTATGGATTTTGATATTTAAAATTGTATTAAAGTGCACCAGTCTTCTCATTTCAWCCCTGGAATTCGTGTCAGCAATTCACCTTTTATCTCAGAAAGTCTGTGTATCTAAACAAGTGAGACCAGTTTAACTGAAGTTGACTTTAACGCTATTAAACCCAGTACAAGCCACACTATAKGTGCTGATAGTTTGGGTAAGGGGTTTTAATTTTTAAACTACAGCTTGCAAGTACCCCTGATCCCTTTGATTACACCTCAGCTGGAAATTGCTGAGGATGCGGAATTCTCACAGAAGGACTTCTGCTGAAGCATGCTATGTCAGGACTTGAAGTAACATTATGTAAAAAGGCCTAATAACCAAATTTTAATCCTTTGGGGTTTTTTAAAGAAAAACAAGACCTTCAAGTTCATACATTGAAATGRTGCTTGAATTTAGAATTCCACAGTTAAAGTTTAAAAGCTCAAGTGCTCTTTAATTTTGACCAAATCCACCATTTTAATTCAACAGCATGACTGAAACTTAACCACATTTGAACTCTGGGCAATACTCCTTTTTCTAGTTAACTAACCCTTTTCAGCTGAAAATAATCCAGGCAGTTGATTGTAAAGATTTCCCTTTTAGTGAGTTAAAGATGATTGGGGTTTGGATTCAATTAAAAAGAAAGGCAGTAACCACAGGGTATGGTATAGAGAAAACAAAAGTAAAACAAGCTATCTTCTGCCTGGCACACCTCATTTGTATCTTCTGAATACAAGAATCMCTCAGGAATACCATGATATTAAATAACCAGATGTAATGAGCTGTAGAAAAACTATGTATGATCTTTTAATTTGTAACTTAAAAAATTCTAGTAATGGCCATACTTTGAGGGGACATCCTTCTGCTGCAATTGGGTCACTCTGAGGCCTGGTCTGTTTTCTGGCTGAAGGTGTCTCAGGTGTGGGAGGTGGCACCTGCTGCAGTATTAGTGAACAGGGAGAGCCCAAGGACCTGTTCATGGAGGTTTTGTTCTCTAAAATGTGCCACTTGTTGAATTCTGGCCTCTGTCTGCACACCCATGAATCATTTGTAATTTGRGGCCACACCCACCTACCTGGGCATGTGAACAGCTCTAAGTACTTAATTTTCTGCTGGCAGGTGTTCACATAAACCCAATTCTGATACCATAAAACTTTCTCAAATTCATTCCTTAGACTTAGCAAAGCTCCCAAATCAGATTATCTCTTTCCTGTTTAGCTGTTAGAATTTTGTCTGGTGAATGTTTTTTTAAAGAGGCTGTGAGTAACTCTTCTCCCCCTGATCCAGGTATATTGCCAAAAAATACCTATAACCAGTGTTACTGCCAGTTGCTCATTCCATCTGCTAATGATTACCATCCTTTCAAGTCACCGTAGAGCTGGGGTGTGCAAGAACCTCCCAGCTCCTTCAAATCTGGCTGCCTGAGGCAGCATCCATGGATCCCTCCCCAGCTGGCAATGACAGTGAGGGAGGGAATGCTCATTGAAACAGTCTGACAGTAACAACTAAAGGGGCTGTTTATCACAGCTGTTCAGATTGCGAAGTCACTCTACACCTTTAATACTACCTTGTTTGGTCACTCCATAGATCAGGCAAAACCAAAACGTTTTCTTTCTGCTTCCATATTTTGACAGTATCCAAGAATCAAACATTTAGCATATCCACCTAAATTGCAGRACACCCAAAATCCTTGCTCAAAATTGGACAGAAGTAACATTTGAGATCTCAGCATCCAAATTCAAGGGGAAARCTTCCTGTTTAGGGACAATATAGAGCAAATAAATACTTCTGTGTTTATCTAAGAAAAAAAAGTATCTGTGGCGGGGCCATGATAATTCCAAGCACATACAGGAACTTCCAGATAGCCCAAACTTGCATCTCTTCAATCTTCTGTATTGGCTAGAACAAGTGCAAGCACTGAAATCTTCTGACTTCTCTAAGTGCCATTCTTAAGTACTCAGCATTCTCYAGGCATAGGTACTTTGGATATATGGACACCATGGGATAGCAGGATASAGCAATATCAATTTTAAATCCAGTTGTAGATGCAAATAAAACTCAYTTATGCACAAACTTTTTCCAAGACCAAATGAGCCTTTACTGGTGAGCTGGTTTGAGCCTCTCCTCCTCTAGGCTGAGTGAAACACTCATCCCTCTCACTGCCTGATTCCTGTGCTGATCACCCACATAAGCCAGGCAGCCAGAGAGGAAAAAACACCACATATCCACAGCCCTTCCTGCTTATCTCCTTAGGTCACTTACAATTGCTTTTAATGGGCACAAAAGTTAAAACAAGCAGAAAAGGTGCAAAATCATTCTCAAGGCTTTTTGATGGGTTTGTTAAATTGCTACTGTAACTTTAACAATTAGTAGGTTGTATAGTAGATTGGTAGATGCAGAGACAAGGTGGATCTCTTAGAATTTCCCCAGGAAAACACAARCTGAATCACAATCCATCTACAAGTTTCAGGCACACTTTCTTCTCTTAAAGGCCATACTGTATACATGGAAAATACTTCAGAGAAGCATATGCAAATGTAATGACACTGTATCTCACAAGCACTTACTGTAAAAAAAAAAAGAATCCTACTTTGAACAAACCTGTAAGAAGTAGGATCTGAGTCCTTGTTCCTCAGGCCCTGACTGCAAACGA